CTTCACTTAGGGCGGGCACTAGGCTTGCTGGGGCCTTAGCCCAGAACATGTACATCATGGCAAGGCCCCTACTTGAGGGCTCAATCCTCACAACTGTCATGTTAGCTTGGTATTGTAACCTTTCTCTTGTACAATCCTTGTGTACATTCCTTATGCATGTTTTTTATCCGTACACCTCCTATGAACATTCCTTTCACACACGTGTGATTGTGATGGCAGTCATCGCAAAGGCTCAGGTTGTACTCCCTTCCCATGCAGTGGGTATAGTTACGGCTCACCTAAGACCGGCCACACCTGGGCGGCTGCCGGCATGCCCAGTCACCTTTTTGTGTCGTTTTGGGTTTTGCAGTGCCAGCACCACTTTTGTTTTCCTTTCTTCACGGCGACACTCTTTTTGTTGCAGGCCCTGGAGTTTTCCTTTTCTTTTTGTCATTTTGTTTGTGGTGTCGCTCGCAGTTCGTGGAGTCTCCTTCCTATGTGTGTCCAAGATGAATGTGGCTGCAGTCCCGTCCATGTACGTGAAAGAGTCGTAACGAAAAACTTTCTCAAACGAACGGCTCTGGGCATAGTCCTGCAGAGCTTATGGGCCTCTGTGACGAGCACTGGGTTCAAGGAGGAAGAGGAGGAAGCACACACAACCACACTCTGGCGCGGATACGATGAGAGGACGCTCAGAGAAGAGTACCAGCAGCAACTCAATGTCGAACTCCCACTCGAATGTCTCAAACTGAGTACAGCACAAGATGTCTCACCCGTGTGTGAGACTGGTAGATATACCTGGGAACATCGTAACGGCTAGGCTGGGCTCAGGGGTATGTACAAAATCCGTCGGTACCAGAAGGGTACCAGTAAAAATGTCCAAGGGACAGATTTAGCCTCACTCGAATGTCTCACCCCAGCCCACTTAGCCTTATGGTTAGGTGTTAGCCTGCCAAGCCGTTGGTTGTGTGTTCGAGTCTTGTTTTCGACATGCAAGTGTTTTCACGCAGTAACCGCCCTAGAGTAGTAAACTACGGTAGTGTGGCTTCGTAGGGGACGAGTGTGGTTGGGTACACGGTGTCATGGATCTCCGTGTTGGGGTGGGGTGGGGTGAAGTACTCATCTTGGGGCTGCACTTTCACCCCAGCCCACTCAGCCTTATGGTTAGGTGTTAGCCTGCCAAGCCGTTGGTTGTTTGTTCGAGTCTTGTATTCGACATGCACAAGGGACAAAAATGTAAAATGTGCTGGTACCGAGGACATAGCAGAAACAGAAAAAGAATGTCTGGTACCAGGCATCAGGTCCAGGGATCGAGCCCTGGCCAGATCCGTAACACCATCCCCTACTCTGGAAAGGCAACGTCCCGACCGCCGAATGAACAAGCTCTCCAAAGGAATGGGATGGCCCCGATCCAGAACAAATGCTGCTGTAAAATCAGCTATCCTATCACGAACACACTGAAACGTCCTACTACTGAAAAAAAATTGAATCTTTATGATTCTTTAATGATTTAATCCATATAAGTTCCAAAATACAAAACAATTATCATGGTAATCACAATGTTAAAGAACATAGATGCAAAACGTGGTGTAGGAAATTTTAAACCAATTGCGTCTTTCGGAACGAAGTAGGTGCCACTGTAGATCAGATAGCCAATTGATCTGCGTTTCAGAAACGCAGCTAGTTTACATAGCCAAAGCCGGGTAGTACACCCCTCAGAATGTAACTGTACAATGGGACACTGGGCGTGGTTCCCAGCGGGTGATACTCCTCACCAATGGATTGGAGCGGCCAGCGAAGGTCCCACTAGAGGGGGACACCCTTATCGCCACCTCTAGTAGGCCGAGGCCTTTTCAAAAAAAAAAAAAAAGGATGACACACAAACATTGAGAAGTTGTAAAAAAAAAAAAAAAAAAAAAAAAAAAAAAAAAAAAAGAGAAAAGAAAATTGAGTCTGGCTCTTACCTCTCTCAACCACTGGGTGAGCTTCAAGTTAGGGCGTACTCACACTGGCACTTTCCTAAATATATCTGACAGATTTATCTTTTGTCCTTAACCTGTGTCTGTGCGTCCAGTTGAATCGTGCCGCTCGACAAGGTCCGTACCTATCGCAGGGGGCACTTGAAGCTCGGCCAATTGTCATTACTGATGAAAGACCAGCACCTGGAGCCTGAATGAGAATGCAAAGCCATTTCCCGGCTGCCGATTCAACTGTTCATCAAGTGCAGTCAATGAGAGGGCAAAGCCATATCGTAGGTGCCAACACAACTCTTCATCAAACAGAGAAAGCAATGCTGAAGACTTGCTCGGCTCAGACAATAACTTGTGATGATGTTCGCTTACAAACTGGCAATGGATGATTCTGGTCAGCTTGCTCTGTAAAGTAGCTCGCATCCTGGCTGTGAATCTTTGGAATGTGGTCCTGGAATTGCTGTTGCATAGGGCTTTGCATCTCTCTCTCTCTCTCTCTCTCTCTCTCTCTCTCTCTCTCTCTCTCTCTCTCTCTCTCTCTCTCTCTCTCTCTCTCTCT